TAATGTTCGGTTTGGACGACGACTTCGCGCTCATGAACTCGCGGACAGAAGGCGTGAAAGAGTTGTTGACCAAAATTGAGACACAAGTGGATGTCGTCGCGCAGACCAACGCCAAGATCTCGTCCCGTTCTGAACTGTACGGTGCGGTCAAACAGGAGGAGCGAATGAGCGGCGCGTTTGATGTGATTCTCATCCATTCCCAGAATCTGAAGAAAGAATCGGAAAAGTGTCGCAAAGAGTTAGAGAAGACAAAACAATTACTCAATTCAATGGGCACTAAGAAGTTAGAGTTTGAGAGCGATTCCGACAACGAGTCCGTTCCTCTTCGCCGATCCATTCGCTCCATATCGACAACAATTGTGCCCAAAACGGTCAGTCATCTCATTTACATATTAGTTGTTTAGCGCTCTTAGCCTTTGGCTTCTCTAACATAGTTTTACTGTAGTTTACTCTCGACTTGCTTTAACACAATTGCTTAATATTTAAGTAAATATTGCATGATTTATAGAGAAAACAGTAGATTTTTAATGCAATTATTAGTTTCTATCGGTTATACTTTGTAGTTTAGGTTAGAGTCTAACCGTTAGACATTGCTTTAGTAGTGAAAGAGTAGTTATAATTGTATTTAGCGTTGATTTTGGATTGAATTGCATTTCAGAACTTAATTCGAGTTCGAAGAGCCAGTGTCTCATCCATTGTGCCGGTAAGACAAACACTACACAATTGCCACACATCTCTACATATTATCATTGATCACAATTTTTTGCGTATTATTATCGTTATTCCGATCTTGAATTGAAAATGTTATATAAAACAGTATTTTATGTCAATTAAATATATTATTCATTTATATATACAACTCATTTGAATTATCCTTGAGTTGTGCTTTTTTATGCAACAAAACCTTTTAATTGAGACTTAATTTTAAATGCGAGGACACGGCATGTGTGGTCAGGGCTCAGGTCCGGCACTTCACGGACACTACATTTTTATAACTATTTAATACATTTTTTTTATTTAAATTTTTGTTTTTAAGTTTATATTTACATAATTTCCGGTTATTTTCACTTTTAATATAATTAAAATGCGAAATTCTCATTGATATTACAGAAAGTAATGAAACCATAATTTATTTTAATGTTTCTATTATTTAAAATTTATTTTATATTAATTTTTTTGTCCAAAACTACAGAATTCGGAAAAACAACGGAAAACAATGCAACCGAAATACGTGGCGCCCAAACCCTCATACCTGGCCAACCGGTCGCGCAGGTGTTCAATGCCCGCCACTTCTGCTATATTTCGGTCCAGAAGTGGTGTCGATATCGAGACCTCATTTTTGGAGATCACTGCAGAAGAAAAGGGCGGCTCTGAGTCCGACTGCGGCTCCTCTTTGGTTAATCCGGACTCAGATAACGAACAAACAGAACAAATATCTCAACCACTTTCGCGACGAAAGTCTTCGTTAAACGAGATAAACATTGCGTCCATTAATTGTGAACACA